CAACGAAATAGAATAAGCGAAGAGTATCTTTATTAACTAATTATAAACTAATTATTGAACTAAAAAATCTATCTCTTTTTATATACTATTACTAATTATTATTGATTACTACATTGTTTATGCAATTGTTATTATTACTAATCGCTATCTCTCTTATTATCTCATTGTTCCATTTGCATAATTTATTTATCATATTCCTTAATTATTACTATATTTTCGATCATCCATTATCATTAATTATGACATTAACCACAATACACATGACAGGTATCCAGATATATATTATGCTATACAGATACAATACATATATGGATGATTTCATATTTTACATCTCACTAATTCACCATCTCACCAATTTACTGTTTCACCAATTTACTATTTCACCAATTCACTCTCTCACCAATTCACCAATTCACTGTTTCACCAATTCACTGTTTCACCAATTCACCATTTCACCAATTCACCAATTTACCAATTTACTGTTTTACCAATTTCACTAATTACACTAATTACATCAATTCACTAGTTATACTAGTTACACCAATGCCGAGTAGTGAATGGTGAAATGGTGAAATTATACCACTCTAATTTAATTTTATCAGTATCTATAAGTAGAAGCAACCTTGCTTGAATTAAAGGTAGAAAACCAGAAGAGAATCAAAAAAGATCTCAAGCTGAGAAATTACATAGAAGAAAGAGATAGATCAGAGGCCTAATTACAAAAAAAGACTTCGATGAGTTGAAACTCTTTTTTAACTCAAATAATTAAGCAAAGAATTTTCTATATATATTTTAAAAGAATTGGATGAAGGAAGTTCACGAGAAAATATAGGTTGCAAGATATAAACTAGTATAGGAATAGAAGAAGGAAAATAGGATCATGCCAAAAGATAAAAGAAGATCGCACAAAAAAGCAAAAAAGAAAAAAAAAAAGAAAAAACCACCAGATAAATGTATTAGGAAAAAAAAAAAGATAAAAATGAAAACAAAAATAAAAGATGAAGTTCAATTTTAGAGATAACTAAAAAGAGATTCTAAAATAGATTGAAGAAGAACAACAGGCAAGTTGGTGGAAAACTAATATGTAGTCTTGACAGGTGGTAAAAACTAGCTATTGACATATTATTGAAGCCAATTGCAAGATAAGATAATACAGAGGCAAATCTTACTATAGCAAGTCGCACATAGGTACTCAGTGAGCAACTGGATGAGTCTTCACTTGTAATTTAAATACTATAGAGTATAACTTTGTAAAAAATTTTAATAGTTTAGATAATTATTACAAAGCCTAATAAAGTGAAGACAAAACTGCCAAATTTATTAAAAAAAAATTTTTTTGATTTTATACAATATAAGATATATAAATTTTATTGAACAATAAGTTTATATATACTTTCAAAAACTTCTTAATATACAAGTGTTCAAAAAAAAAACCTGGATTTAGACTTTGAGTTTATAACTTAACAACTTGGTCTTTAAAAGATCTAATTTGTAATAAAACGAAGTATATTAATTATACTGCTGAGTTTATTAAGTGTCATGGCTAATGCTAAAATTTAGGGTCCCTATTTAAATCTATAATATCTACTAAAATTCACATACTTTTTTACTAACAACATTAACTCTAAACTCTAACCTAACCCTAAACTAAAATAACTTAATTAATTAATAAAAAAAAATAAAAATCTTTAATATATATTAGATATTTTTTGCTATTTAGTACCAGTACTGTAAATTTACCATAGTATATAAATTTAAATATAAATATTAATACATATATACTGTATAATACTAATAAATATAAACAATTTTATAATTTTCTAATTGTAGTAAGAATTCTAAATTTAATGAAGATTGAACTTTTTTACAAATAAGCTTTTTATATTATACGTTTCAAAATTGAAATTATTGCTACAAACAATAATAAATAATAATACTACTCACTCTCGATATAGTGAAGATTCGAAATTTGAATTACTGAATTATTAAACTTCAATTCGATATAGTGAAGTACCGTATTTTACCGATAATAAGCACCCCCGAAAATAAGCACCCCTGGCCTGCATTATGCAAAATTTGGCCTGAATTATAACTACCTTGGCCAACATTACGTGCAAAAAAAGGGTGCTTATTTTTGGTAAAATACGGTATATAAATTATTTTCTCAGCCCGACAGGGTTGGCATTGGACAATGTCCAAATAAATTTATTGGACTTTTGAACATTTGGACATTTAGACCATATCCAAATAATTTCTTGGACCTTTGGACATTAAACAATGTCCAAAATATTACAAGATTAATTGGACGTGCCCAATTATCCTAGACAGATTTAATCATTGATATTACTGTATAAAAGTAATAGTTATACACTGGGGCCATAGTATCATCGGGAAAATTAAATAAGTGCAATTTGCAAAAATCTGTATTTTTGCAGATTTTTGTAAAAAATCTGCCAAATTTTTTAGAATTTGAAGTTTTGCACAGGATTGCATCTAATTTCTGCATTTATACTATCAAATTTGAAGGTGTGCGCAAATTTTCATTTGATTTATTATTTAATTTTTTTGCAAATCTGCGCAGAACTGTAATAAAAAAATTTTCCCGATGATAAGCGAAAATGAAACCTCTGCTTAAACACATAGAACAGTATATAACTGATTTGTACCTTGCAATCTTGATATAGTAACAAGGGGTATGATATATATGATAGCAGTAAGAAATTACATTACAGCTTTATTATATTGAAATTTTTAATTTTAGTGTAGATTAGCGAAATTATTATTTTAGTTTAAATATGCCTGAATTAAGTTTAATTAGGCCATAATTAAATTAAAATTTAAGTTTAATTAGGCCATAATTAAATTAAAATTTAAGTTTAATTAAGCCATAATTAAATTAAATTTTTTTTTTTGTTCAATAAAAATTTTTATTATGTCCAATTAAATTGTTTGGACATTGTCCAATGCCCAATATTATGACATGCCATCTCTGTAGCCCGAGGACTTTACTATAATGAGAGTGAGTTGTAGCCAATAGGGTTATCATACCTGCCTATGTGATAAGGCAAGCATCTAAATAAGATTTCTAGTGATAAGCTATCTAATGCAGCAATGATAGCAAAAAAAATTTTTAATACTAATTAAATGCATTGCATTAACTTTTCAATCACATACTGCATCGTAAATGCGCCAATTATCTATCAGAAATAGTTTTTCCGATGGCATTTAGAAATAATGCGTTTAGCGAGTTTATCAGTTAATTTTTCATGCTAAATGCTATAAGAGTCAAACAGCTAAGCACGCTTTTTAATAAATTGTGAAGCCCTGATAGTTTTCCTATTAAAGTCGCATAATTGGTTTCCCCTTTTATTTTACAATAAAAAAGGGTATTGCTTTTTTAAAATACAAACACAAAACATCAGCGTGGTCCAATTGCTTGTTCTAGCAATAAACGTATTACGTTCCGGTTTGAAAGTGGGTTTTTCTCGGTTTTAAAAATATAAACATAGATTATGATATTATAAATAAAAATCGATGGCAAGTGCATTTGTTTATCGATAAGTATAAATGCTGCACAATATAAACAAGTTTATTCTGGTTTAGTTATCGTATGTTTGTCAAATGGCCATGCATTCATTTCTATAAAAGTAACTACAGTATTTATATGCATTATAAAGAATCCATTGTAACTTTGATTCATGAAACTTATAAATAAAACGTCTACTCTGTGTTTTCATAAAATTCTGGAAATCAGCAACTTGTATATTAAATAAATTCATTTTTGAATAAAAAAGAAAAAAAGAGAAAAGAAAAATTTCAATTACCGAACAAGAAAATAGTAAAAGAAAATATTAATATTTTACTCACCATTTTCCATTCTACAATTCCTATGGAAAATAACTAAGCCAAGATTATCAACGTTGACAAATTGCCTTAAATTTCGATCACGTGGAAGTTTTGGCAAATGACCTTGATTGTCTGAAAAATAGCAAATGACCTTGGAATTTGCCAAGCCAGGCAATTGTTGGCCGGAAAAGAAAGCACAAGCTGTCGTGTTACCGCCACATACCCCACAAAAATCAGAAGAATGAGTTCTTAACTTTATTTATCGGTGAGTTGTTACGTAAATTTAGATAGCACGTGAAGAATGTAAAATTGTCGCGTTTCTAAGTAAATAAATATGTATTTTGAATGTATTCCGAATAAAAATCCAGACGCGAGCTTTTTCGGTACATTATACATTTTGGGAACATCATGATTAGTTAATGGGATTTACTAATTCGATCCAGGAAGCAGCATGTAGCTCCGATGTTCCGACTCAGAGTAATTTATTAGTATTTATATTCAATAATGCAATCTAAACAAATCAGGCTAATTTTTGCATTAAATAATCCAATATAGGAAACTGAGAACTTGTTTTTAAAGTTGTATGAAATCTACCTTTTGATCTTGCCTTCTAAAAACGATTTAAAGCATTCCTCTTTCTACTTTTTCTACTTTCTACCCGTCTACTGAAAGGATGAAACTGGATCCAAAAAAACTCTGTTATCCAATGCAATTCTCTCTTGTATCTCGCGTGTTGTCATTCCAAATCGGGAGTCTGCTTATTTGTGTTCCCCATTTTTTTTTATCTTATATATTAACATCTAATACTATTCTAGCTTTCTCTTGTCCTTCTCTGTTTCTTCTTTCTTATTCTTGACTTATCATTGTACCCTTCAATTTATACAAAAGAACTTTAAACGAAATGACTGACAAATATATTAAACTCGAGAAAATTGGGGAAGGTTAGACTTGAAATGGAACATGTTCATTCCTTAATATTCTTCCCATGTTGTTTGAATAAAGTCTAAACTGCAATATTCAAGTTTCAACGTGTCCATATAGTAAAAAAGTTTTTTCTCTTCTTGACATTCGTTTCCTCAATACTTTAAGGGACATACGGTGTTGTTTATAGGGCGAAAGAACGAAAAACGAGTCGCGTCGTTGCTATGAAAAAAATGAGACTAGAATCTTTTACCGGTAGAATATCTTATACAACCATTAGAGAAATATCTATATTGAAAGATGCTAGTCACAAGAATATTGTGAGGTATGTTGTCTCTATAACTGTGCTCAAATTTTCTTTTACCAAACACGCCCTGTTCATATATTATCTTACACAATTTATATATTATCTAATGGGATGTTGATTTACCTTCTAGTTCTTTTTAAATTCATCGTTTGAGAATTACACTTAAGTTATAGATTAATTACTGATTTGTTTCTAATCTTGGTAATCATTAGGCTCTTAGATACAATTCTTCAGGAAAAGAATCTATATCTAGTATTTGAATATTGTGATATGGATCTGAAAAAATACATTGACGGTGCACCATTTGGATTACCAATAGATATAATTAAGGTATATCGTCTTGATATTTGATCTTAATTTGCTTAATTAGTTTATCAGAAATCTGTTGTAAAATTTTTTGATCTATTATATTTGTTTTCAGAAATTTACATATCAACTTTTATGCGGAATCAAGTACTGTCATTCGCGTAGAATTCTTCATCGAGATCTAAAACCTCAAAATCTTCTTATTGGTTTAGATGGTAATTTGAAATTGGCTGATTTTGGTTTGGCGAGAGATTTTTCTAATTCGATAGGAGTTCTTACTCGTGAGGTATAATCTATTATTTCAATTTATTCCATGAAATATTAATTTCGTATAATTCGAATATTATTAAATTGCTTCAATTATTTGATTAGGTTGTCACATTGTGGTATAGACCTCCTGAACTTCTCCTTGGTGCACGATATTATTCTACAGGTGTCGATATGTGGAGTGTTGGCTGTATTTTCGCTGAAATGATGTCATCGTACGCTTTATTTAGAGGTATCTTCAGTGGTCACGTGAACATTTCCGTATTCTTAGATAAATATAAACTTTAAGCTTTTGTGTTTCGAAGATCTTATATATTTATTCGACTATTTTTTGAAAGGCGATAGCGAAATTGATCAATTATTCAAGATTTTTGGGTTTGTGGCATTTTGTCATTTCTTATTTATCTTTTTCACTACATTCACTGAACCAATCACGTGATCGTGATTTTAAATATTATTGAACAAATAGCATTCTCGGTACTCCTGATGAGCATCTATGGCCCGGAATACGACAATTACCTAATTTCAAAATTATATTCCCTATTTGGAGACGTTATCCTTTAGATCAAATCTTTCCTTGGATGGGTTATGATGCAATTAATTTATTAGAGGTAATTCCATTTTCTCAATTCCGTATTTATAAATAACTATGTTAATAACTTTCGTATCTCTCTTTTTAGAAGCTCTTGATTTATGTACCAAGCCAGAGAATTGCGGCTAAAATGGCCCTTAGACACACATACTTTGATGATATAAACTTTTCTCGTTCATGAATGAATTGTATAATACTAAAAAAATAGATAATAAAACTATAATATTATGGTGCCGCAGCATTAAAGCTAAGGCCCTACTGATCAAACACCAATTTTTGATTATTTAAACTTTTGTATTTTTTTTTTTCTTTTTTTTTTCTCTTTGAAAAAAATATTGGCTGTTTTTGTCAAAAAAGTCAGATTTTTGTCGAAAAACGTCTAATCTTTTCATTAAGAGCATCGAACATTCTCATCAAAAAATCATCGTCGAAAATGTAAAGAAAAAAACGCATCTTTTTTTCCTTTTTTCTTTCTTTTTTCTTTCTTTCTTTTTTCTTTCTTTCTTTTTTCTTTCTTTCTTTTTTCTTTCTTTCTTTTTTCTTTTTTTTTTTTTTTTTTTTTTTTTTTTTTTTTTTTTTTTTTTATAAAATTTTTTTTTTTTTTTCAAAAAAAAAATTAATTTTTTTTTTTTTTTAATATTATATAAA